TGTGGTGTGTGTGTGGTGTGTGTGAGGAGAGGCTGGGGGAGGGTGGCACCAGGCACAGGCGCTTCCACTCCTCCTGAGCCTCCGGGGTCTCCTGAGGAGGAACCCGGTCACAGTGCGGCTCCAGGGGCCTCATCACTCTCTTTCTTCATCTGCAGGTAGTTCCTGAAATGACTGAGCTATTGAAGAAAAAATGAGCCATGATCATGTGTGAAGATTATGAGTATTCTGCTGAAATCGTAGAATTCACGGCTATTGTAACAATCACTGGGAGGCTGCATTTCCTAACGGGGAAGATTCTAACAGGTGCCAGAGGCTTTTTTATGGGGTACGTTTCTTTTTAACTGGCTGCAAACAGTTATTTTTGAAATTTTCTAATTCTGTAATAAAATATAATAAAGTCTTTCCACAGCTTTAAAACTATTATACTACAGAAATATCCCCGCTTCGTAGAGAGAGAGAGAGAGAGAGAGAGAAAACTGAAGAAAGGCGGTAAAAACTCATTTTTTTCTCTGCCTCACTTGTTCGCCGAGGGCTCTGTCTGTGAGTGTGATGTTGCCGCCATCCTAGCCACAGACTCGCTGCTGAGAGGGAGCGGGATTGGCCGATGCGGAGCTAAGAAAGCGCGGGCACGCCCGTGGTTGTCACTAAATATGCCTCTGTCTTCAGAAACCACAGCCCCTGCCTTCCACCGGCCCCGCGGAACTGCAGTCCGACTGTTCCCGCTTCTGTGGGCTTTTGTCAGCTTGTCGGACCCGGTGTCTGGAGAGGAGGGGAGGGGAGCAGGGGCTGCTGTGAAGCAGGCAGTTGGGGTATAAACCTGAGGCCCCGTACACGAAACAGGAAATTCATGTGGGGGGTGTGGGGGGAGGCCCAGGCCACCAGCCGGCGACAGTGGCGGGCGTGCGGGTCTGGCCAACCATCGCCCTATAGAGGGAGGCCCAGGCCAGCCAAGCGATTGCACCTCACGCCTGTGGCCTGCAGAGGTGGTGGTGGCGGTGGTGGGCGGAGGTGGGGGCAGCGCGATGGCAGGCAGTGGCAGCTGCCGGCAGCCCCGACAGGCCCTGATCTCAGGCCAGGCCTGGGGACCCTGCCTGAGGGCATGCGTGGCCGTGCCTTCTTAGCTCCGATCGGCCAATCCCGTTCCCTCTCTCGGTGATGGGTCACCTGGCGATCGGCCACGGGGCTCTGGGATGGATCACCCAGCAGAGGGCGGCCCGCCCACAATCTGTCACCGCGCAGAAGATGGCCTAGGCCTCCCTCTTGGGGGTAATTGCGGAACCCCACCCCCACCCCCTCAACGGATTGCCCTGCTGGCCAGTGGCCTTGGCCTCCCTCTTCAGGGCAATCGTGGGGTGGGGCCCCCCGACCAATCGCATTGCACCCGCCTTGGCTGGCCTGGCGCCAGCGTGTGCCATCGCGTGGTCTCCGGTCCAGACGGTCATTCTGCTGTTCAGTCGTTGGGTCGATTTGCTTTTATTATAGAATATGTTTAAAGTCACTCGCAGAGAACGCTCCGGCCGCCCTCGGCTCTCGGAGGCTGTGGGTGCGTCGCCACAGGCACGGCTGAGGTCACAGGAGCCGGCTGTGCGAGCTGCCCCGGGGCAGGCTGCCCTGCAGGGAGGGTGGACAGTGTCCAGGGCCGTAGGAGGTGGGTTGTGGCAGCTGCCACCTTGAGGCAGGTGCGCAGCAGGTACGGGGTGGACAGGACCAGGTGATGGGCAGAGGGTGGAGGTGACCAGGGACACGGGAGGGCTGGAGGGGCCGCGGAGAGCTGATGAGTTGAGCCTTTTTGGTTGTGTCACGATCGCTCGCTGTGCAGCACTGGACAAGGTCAGTGTCCCTGGCTCTCCGCCTCCTGCTGACCAGGCAGGAGTGAGCGGTGCTCCTGCCTCCCTCCGGCAAAGGGAGCCGCTGGCGATCGAGCGCGGAAGGCGGAGGAGGAACCTAGACCGACCTAAGGGACCTCACCGGTGGAGTGTGCAGGGTGGGGAGGGAGGCGGGGGGTGGTCGGAGGCGTGGCAGGAACCCTGGGGCCTGGGCCTGGGCCTGGGCCTGGGCGGGTTTGGCTGAAAGCTCTCTGGTTGCAGATGGGTCCCGGGAGGCTGGAGATGGCCAGAGCTGTGGGCGCGGCTGGCAGAGGGGAGCTGCCCTGGGCGGTGCTGGCGCGGACCCGGCTGAGTGCTCTGCTCTTTCTGGAAGGGCGGCCGGCGGCCTCGGTGCTCACTCCCCCCTGAAGGGCGTCTGATCCGCATAAAAGTGCTTAAGAGGCTGGAAACCAGAGGACGCAGATACAGCAGATGGATCTGCTCGCTCAGGGCAACTTGCCTGAGAACCTTCCAGAAAGCCGCTAAGGTGAAATGCTGCCACACTTAGTATATGCCCGGGCTTTAAAAAAATACTTTGTGGGAAACCCAGGTGAAGAAGGGTGGCTGATCATCCTTGGTTTATAGAGTAATTTCATTTAAAGCGCATCCGAGGCGGAGGGGCGGGAGCCTGTGAGGATCACTCGGGAGGAGAGGTGATTGGAGTGGAGCGCAGACCACAGCTTCGGCCATGTCTCCCACGGAGGCCCTGCTGGGTGCGGCCCCCATGCGTGTCACCGCCCCCTTTCTGAGGCCTTTGTGCTCTGCTGTCAGGAGCCGGGGCAGGGAGGGGGCTCCTGGCAGGGGAGCTGGCGTTGCCTTTCTGTGGGGCTGGCATTGGGGCGCGGTCAGCCCCGGGCAGGCTCACTTGTCCGGCTCCTCCATGGTGCCCGGCGGGGCCTGGGCGGGCTGCAGGGGGCCAGGGCGGGCCTGGTCCCAGGAGGGCTGAGCGTGGCTCTGGCCCTGGTTCCCTCGTCGTCTCCGTTACACACTGTGGTCCTCGGTGTAAAGGGCACATTGGCCTTGGCGCTCTCGGGCGTCCTCTAGCTGTTACCTGTGGGCACGCTGGCAGGTGGATGTGACCCGAGCCCTTACACCGGGCCATCCCCCACAGCCAGCGGTGCGGCCCGGCCAGTCTGCCCGCCCACACGCCAGGCCCTGGTCCCCGGCCCCCGGCCCCCTGCCCCCTGCCCCCTGCGGAGAGTAGGGAGGCGCATGGACGGAGCGCGAGGAGAAGCCGCGCTGGCTCCGAAGGGGCAGCAGAGCCGGTGGAGGAGGTGTGTCCGGGCAGCAGCAGGCGGACAGGCCCCGCAGCTCCAGGACATGGGGCGCTGGGGCCCTCCCCAGTCCTGGCCGGCCTCCTGGCCTGCACACCGGCTGTCCCTGTGGCCCCGCACCCCCTTCTTCACACGGGAGAGGGGGGGCCCTGCCTGGTTAGGAGGCCAAGGTCGCAATCACAGGCAGCGGGGAGTCTGCGGCCTCCATTCAGGGCCAGTCCTGCCTGATCCTGGCGGGGCCCAGGGGGTGCTTCCTGGAGGGAGCGGGGGAGGGGCCACAGAGCAAACAGGAGCAGGGCTGGCGGGGCCTGGGCACCGCCTCACCCTCCAGGCACAGCAGCACCCGAGGCGGAGGCCCACACCCTCCCCGAAATGTCCTCGGAGCCCCCGGCCCGTCCCCTCCGTGAGCCAGGGGCACCGTGTGGGCGGGCAGCACAGCCTTCCTGGGCGGAGGGTCCTCACGCCGCGCCGCCAACTGCATGGTCCGAGCAAGCCCAGCCTGCGGGCTTGGTCCGGAGGCCAGGGTTTGGGTTCGGGGCCTTGGGCCTGGGGTCCTTCGGGAAGGCAGGCTGGGGGCGGCTGCCTGCTCTGGCCCAGCTCTCCCAGGGGCTGGCCACCTGCACGGCTGGCTCCAAGCCTTGCCCCTGCCGCCAGGATTGGCATGTCGGGGGCCCTGGCCACAGGAGCGGCTCCTGTCCGGCTCCGGGTGAGGCTGGGCAGGGAGGGCCCTGCTGGAGGCCCACAGGGCGGGCGGCGGAGGGATGGCAGCTGCCTGGGCACAAGGCCGGCCTCTGTCCACTGTGCCAGCGGCTGCATTCCAGGCGCCCACTTCTCCAAGTGCAGGTGACACGGAGCCGGCGGACCTGGGTTTGGTCCCTCTCCCCCCCCACTCAGTAGGTGGCCGTGTGCCCGGGGCGGGTCAGTAATGAATCGTCTGCACCTGTTCCCTCTGGAGCAGACGGCAGCGCCCGCTCTGCAGAGCCAGCACAGCAGCAGGGGAAGGCCTGGGAGCCTCGGCCGTCACCTCCGCCTGCTGGCCGCCAGGAGCCACTGCTGTCCCAGGCCCTCCGCCCTCGGCGTGGAGGCAGTGGCACCCTCTCACAGGGACACGGGAGTAAAGCCCGTGTGGAGAGGCCTTCATAGGGCGCTCAGTGGGAGCGGTCCTCCTGCTGTTGGGGACCAGAATGCCTCCGGTGACACCCAAAACCACTCAGTTGGACGGATTCCTTTGACGGGGAACAGCTGCTCCTCTCCCTGCGACTCAGGAGGTGTGCTCGGCCTCGCATGTGCTCCCCTCAACCCCCCACCCCGTCTTCCAGCTCAGCCCCCCGTCCCCGTGCCGCCCCCGCCGTGGCCTGTGCAGGCTTCTGGGCTCAGGGCGCAGGGAGGCAGGAGCCGGCAGCCTGGGGCCGGGACTTCCTGGCCTCCTGCAGGCGGAGGGGGAAGGCGGCCCCAGCGGCAGGTGAGCCAGTTCACCAAGGGGCGGACGGTGCCAAGGAGCTGGGGCGATGGTGGCTGCCTGTGGAGGAAGAGGAGGGAGTCGCCATGGGGGCTTGAGGGTGGCGCTCAGCTTTGCGCCCGCTGAGTTGGAGATCCCAGGGCGGGAGCCCCAGGTCAGCGAGGAAGGGGGTTCTGGGCTCCTGGGTGGGGGATGAGGGAAGGGACTGGTCTGGAGCCACAGGCCTGGCGGCGTGAGCTTCCCGCCTGGGCCCGGGCGCCCTCCTCTGAGAATGCCCTCCTCTGAGAATGCCTCCGGGCTGCCGGGGGGGCCCTGCGCGGGGTCTCAGCAGCAGCAGCAGCCCCAACCCCTGAGGACCGCAGAGGCCGAAGCAGCCACCAAGAACGCTGCCAGCCTGGTCTGTGCAGCTGCTTTTATTAGAAAGCTGGTGTGCAAAACGGCGTCCCTCCCCAAGGACTCCCCCCACCTCCGGACCCCCCCCTTCTGTCCTGGGGGGGTTGGGGTTTGTGTAAAAATACTCGGAAAGGCTCATGCGGAAATGGGAGGATGAGGAACGAGGGCTCCACCCGGGGGCGGGGCGGGGCGGGCGAGCCCCTCACAGTGCTGCTCCCTCCGAGGGCGGAGGCTGGGCCACGGGCTGGTTCTGGTAAAAACGGTTTAAAGCCTCAGCCACGAGCACCGCCTTCCCCTGACCGGCGGGCACCTGCTCTGGGCTGAGGTCTGAGGCCTGTCCTCCTGGCCTGGCGTCCCGCCCTGGAGGCTCCTGGGGCCCTGGGCGGCCTCGGGTCCCAGCCGCCCGGGCGCTAGGCCTCCTCTTTGGACTCCAGCGGCGAGAACCGGTGCAGCGCGGGCGCGGGGGCCGGCAGGAGGGCGGGCTTGCGCGCCAGGCCCGGGAAGCCCTCCTGGTTCCTGCGGTTGAGCAGGCCGACCCTGCGCTCCAGCTCGGGGCTGGTCTGCGTGGGGCCCGGGGCCGGGCAGGCGTCCTCGGACAGCGAGGACAGCAGGTCCTGGACGGCGGCGTCCGCCTCGCGCTCCCGGGCGGGGGCGGGGGCCGGGGGGCCGGGGCCGGGCTCGGAGGAGCACAGGGTGTGGCTGCTGCCGCTCTGCCGGGAGCCGGAGCTGCCGGTGGAGCCGGACGGGCTCTCGGAGGCGGAGCTGGCCCAGGCGCCCTGGCCGCGCAGCCTCGGGGGCGCGTCCCCCGAGAAGAGGTCGGAGGACACGCTGGGCCGGTGGATGTCGATGGCGGCCGTGGTGACCAGGCCCGCGGCCGGGTCCGGGACGCCGCTGTCTGCGGAGAGGAGGGGGCCGCCTGAGGGCGGGTCCGAGCCCCGCCAGCTCTCCGCGTGGATTACCGTCAGGGTTCCGGAAACAACGCACACGTGTGTGCACGCACGCACACAGGAACACGTCTGACACAACAGGATCCTCGGGTGCCGGTGATGTGTGGCCGTGGGACACCGCCCGTCTGGATGGCCGCCCTCGGCCCCTCCCCCTTTCCTCTACCCTCTAGCGTACCCCCCGTTGTCCCCCCCCCCCCCCCCCCGCCTGCACCCCCTTCCCTGGGCCAGATCACCGCCGGTCACCCCCAGCTGCCCTCGGAACGCCCCGCTCTGCCTTCCCACTTGGGTCCCGCTCCCGACTCGGAGCCTTCGTGTTTCCAAACACCTCGTTCTCCATTCCGCTCCCCACGATCAGCCACCGGGGGGCTCCCTGCTTCCCCAAACCAGCCCGCCCCCGCCCCCGCCCCTGCCCCAGCCCCACGTTCTTGGTTGTTCCCACTCAAGCTCCCCCTCCAGACCTCCCTCTGGATTGCCCTGCTACCTCCCCACTCACAGCTCCCACACTCGCTCCACAATCTCACTCCACACCCCCTGGTGCCACCTAACCCGGCCACGTATCCCCCCTCCGGTAACCACTCAGCTGGCCCCTGGCCCCTCAGCCTGCACCCTCTGCTCCCGCTCAGCTCGCCTCCATCACTCCCCCTGGCTTGGCCCTGTGGCTCCGCCCTGGCGCCCCCTCCAGCCGGTCATGCCTTCATCGCCACCATCCTCCCTTCCAAGTAGCTCTGCTGGCCGGGGGCGGGAGGCTGGGGGCGCGGTGGCGGACGGTGAGGACCCCGGCAGGCCCACGGGCTGTGGCGTGTGGGGAGGAAAGCTTCACTGACGCTAACGGGCGAGGGGGCACCCGCCCCGGGGGAGTCTGCAGGTGAGCCCGGGGTGGTGCGCGCAGAGCCCTGGGGCTGGCCTCGGGGTCACCGTTACAGCACACGCGGGCTTTCCCCGCCTCCAGTGGCCCCGGCCGCTGCGTGTCCAGCCGTCATTTCTCATGTCACATAGATGGCTCCCGCGACACAGCTCCTGGGCAGAGAGTCCCTGAGGATGGGACCCGCTTCCCTGCAGCCCTCCCCGCTCCTGCCTGCGGCGGAGGCCGCAGACACGGGCAGTGCCCTCGGGAGCTCCGGGAGTGGTGTCAGGAGGTTCAGGAAGCCGGGACCCGCTGCTCCCAGGGGTGCACATTTGGCAGATCTGTGGGAGCCCCATCGCCCCCGCTGAGTAAGCTTCAAACCTGACCCAGCTCTGTCCCTTCTCATCCTGCCTCCGTCCTTGTCCTGGACGTTCCCACCGGGGACTGCAGAGAGGAGGACAGACGGCCATACAGACGGCAGGACGCAGAGCGTCACGGCGCCCCTGGGTGTGTGGGGTTAAAGTCTTCGTCACTCTCCAACCCGGACCTGACTCCCTGGGCCCAGTCGTGGCATCGGGGTCAGGGGGCTGGGTGACTGGCTGAGGGACAATGGCCCGCTGTCACCTGCAGCGCTCAGGTCCCAGAGCCAGAAATGCTGGCCTGAGTCCGGGTGCCTGACGTGGGCACCGGGGCCTCCCGTCCAGGTGGCCGAGCAGGTCAAGGCTGTAGCTCACCCTCCAACATCCCCCAGCACCTGCGGCCCTGGCCACCGCCACGTCCAGATGACAGCTGAAGGACAGGATGGCCAGCCCGGCCCCAGCCCGCCCTCCTAGCGCCCCAGTTACCGCCCGAGGCCCCAGCCGGGCTGGCTCCGTGCATAGGGCACTGCGGACTGAAGGGTCCAGGGTTCGATTTCAGCCAAAGGCACGTACCTCCAGGTGCGGGTGGAGGCAACCGATGGATGTCTCTCCCTTCTCTCCCAGTCCCTCCCACTGTTCCTATAAACCAATGGGAGGGCTAACAACAACAAGAAGTAAAAATAAAATAAAAGCAGTCTTTCTGAAAAGGAAAATAAAGCTATTAATAAAGAACCTCCTGAAGGCCAGCTGAGCAGAGCTCGGATCACTGAGGACACGGAGACCAGGAGGAGGGGCAGAGGCGTGGACAGGCGGGCCGCACCCACGGGTGGTGCTGAAACATCAGCAGGGATGTCAGCTGCAGAGCATCCCCCGCCCACCCCTACCCCCAGGCCCAGGGAGCCAGCCCCACGGCGGCTCCCCAGCCCCGGGTTCCAGCGCCTGAAAGAGGAGGCGCCACCACCTCTGGCTTTGAAAACCCGTGGTGAGTGTCCCAGCGCCATCTTAGAGACCCACGTGGCTTATTCCCTGAGGGGTCACGCTGGGCTCAGCGCTGGCCTGCTCCGCGGTGGAGCATCTGCCTAGAACCAGAGGTCCCGGTTCGATTCCCGGTGGGGGGGGCACAGGCCCGGGTTGCGGACTCGATCCCCAGTGAGGGCGAGCAGGAGGCAGCCGATCCGTGATTCTCTCTCCCTTCCTTCCTAAACTCAGTCAGTAAACACGCACGCTAGAGGCCGGGGCGTGAAACTCGTGCAAGAGCCGCCAGCCGGCTTCCCTCCGGCACCTGGAACCCGGGCTTCCCGGGCCTCATCCGGGGTTTCCGGTCTGATTAGCATATTACGCGTTTATTACTATGCATATATAAGTAACTTTAAAAAGCACCAGGGACACGGTCTGGCTTCAGGACGAGGGCTCAGGCAGCTCGCTCCCAGGCGAAGGGGCTGGCAGAACCGCTGCTGTGCTGAGCGCGCCCCACGCAGGCGCGTCTCCATCAGCGTGGTTGGCGCTCACCCCGCCCTGTGGTTCCCTGAGACCCCGTCCCACCCGCAGCGTCATGGCTGTTCCATACAAACGGCTGTCGTGGCTCGTGCTGCAGACTTTCCTGAAGGCTCTCAGCCCACACGGCGCCAGCTGCAGCGTGCCCCCCAGTCCTGCTCCTCGGCCCCGAGCCCAGCGGCAGAGCCGCAGCCTCGGTTTGCAGCTCAGGCTCCCAGGCCCTCCAGCCCAGCATGGGAGCAGCCGTCTGCAGCGCCCTCTGTGCTCGCCCCTGGCCCGGCAGGGCCCAGGCAGCAGCTGGCCTTGGCCTTTTCCTCCCGAGAGACCTCAGAACGAACACACCTGGTGGCCAGCGTCAGCCCAGAGCACAACCCAACCACCTCCACCCACCACTCGCAGGATCAACTGCCAGGCACCGGGGCCCCTCCCGCATCCTCCGCACCGGTCACCCGAGGTCACCCTCCACGGCCGCGCCAAAGCAGCAGGAGGGCACACGGCCACACGGGGGGACCGGGAGGGCACACGCAGGCACACGGGGACCAGGAGGGCACACGGCCACACGGGGGGACCGGGAGGGCACACGCAGGCACACGGGGACCAGGAGGGCACACGGCCACACGGGGGGACCGGGAGGGCACACGCAGGCACACGGGGACCAGGAGGGCACACGCAGGCACACGGGGGGACCGGGAGGGCACACGCAGCCACATGGGGGGACTTGGAGGGCACGCGGCCACACGGGGGTCGGGAGGGCACGCGGCCACACGGGGGGACCGGGAGGGCACGCGGCCACACGGGGGGATGGGAGGGCACACGCAGCCACACGGGGGGACGGGAGGGCACGCGGCCACACGGGGGGACCGGGAGGGCACGCGGCCACACGGGGGGACCGGGAGGGCACGCGCAGCCACACGGGGGGACCAGGAGGGCACATGGCCAAACGGGGGACCGGGAGGGCACACGGCCACACGGGGGGACGGGAGGGCACGCGCAGCCACACGGGGGGACCAGGAGGGCACATGGCCAAACGGGGACCGGGAGGGCACACGGCCACACGGGGGGACGGGAGGGCACACGACCACACGGGGGGACGGGAGGGCACGCGGCCACACGGGGGACTGGAGGGCACACGACCACACGGGGGGACCGGGAGGGCACGCGGCCACACGGGGGGACCCTGAGTGCCCGCTCAGGTGCCAGCAAGGCTGCCCCTTAGGGCACCTACGACCTGAGCCCACGAGACCGAGACAGAGCCACGGCCGCTCCGCAGACAGGCAGCGGCGAGGAAGGAGCGCCAGCCCGGGTGCAGAGGGCAGGCCCCACGTGGGGGCACCTACCTGGCGAGGGCTGCAGCTGCTCCACGCCGCCCCCCGTGGCCGTGGCCTCCACCACGTGGTAGCGGCCGCGTGGCCGCAGCACCTGCGGGGCCCTCAGCGCCGCCTCCCGCTCGGCGGCCAGGTCCAGGTCCTGCTGGGCCAGGTGCGCCCGCAGCTGCCGGATCTCAAACTGCGAGGAGAGGGGGTGGTCAGGCTGCCTGAGGGTCTGGGCGAGGGGGTGCGGGCCAGGTCTGGGCGCGGCTCCTGGGCTCTGAGCACCCACAGCTGGACTGCACCAGAGCCGCCTCCCAGCCTAGGTGTGTGTGTGTGTGTGTGTGTGTGTGTGTGTGTGTGTCCCCGGGGCCCCGCCCCCCCTGGAGGACCGGAAAGAGCTGTGCTTGTGGGAAACCCCTGGAGGCCTCGGGGGCCTGGGTCTGAGGCCGTCAGGTGTCTGTGCTGACCCAGCGCTCACTAGCTGGCGCCCCCCCAACGCTGCCCCCCACTCGCTCACAGGCTGCCCCCCCCCCCGCTCACAGGCCGACCCCCCCCTCACAGGCTGCACACTCCCCCCCCCACCCGCTCACAGGCCGACCCCCCCCTCACAGGCTGCACACTCCCCCCCCCACCCGCTCACAGGCCGACCCCCCCCTCACAGGCTGCCCCCCCCGCTCACAGGCCGACCCCCCCCTCACAGGCTGCCCTCCCCCCCCGCCCCCCCCGCCCCTCACAGGCTGCCCCCCCCGCTCACAGGCTGCCCCCCCTCACAGGCTGCCCCCCCCCGCTCACAGGCTGACACCCCCCCCCCCCCCCGCTCACAGGCTGCCCCCCCTCACAGGCTGCCCCCCCCCCCGCTCACAGGCTGCCCCCCCCGCTCACAGGCTGCCCCCCCCCTCACAGGCTGCCCCCCCCCGCTCACAGGCTGACACCCCCCCCCCCGCTCACAGGCTGACACCCCCCCCCCGCTCACAGGCTGACACCCCCCCCCCCCCGCTCACAGGCTGACACCCCCCCCCCTCACAGGCTGCCCCCCCCCCGCTCACAGGCTGACCCCCCCCCCCCGCTCACAGGCTGCCCCCCCCTCCCGCTCACAGGCTGCCCTCCCCCCCCGCCCCCCCCCCGCCCCTCACAGGCTGTCTGAGGTCACAGCGGCCCACGGGGCAGCCCCCTGACCCTGGGGGGCGGGGGGCCCTCCTGCCAGGCCGCGGGGAGCCTCCTGTGGGCACACCCAGCCCTTCCCCCAAGGCTGCTCAGGGCGGCAGCCCAGCTAATGGCTCCGGAGCAGCTGCATGATTGATGCCGTGCAATCGATAGCAAGCTGCCGGAGTCCCCCTGGAACAGGCCAGACAGCCACGCGGTGACACGGTACGGACACGGGCATTCCAGGGGAGAGATGGACACACGTGTGCGGTGCTTCTCCCCCCTCCCTCCCTCAGGAAGATCGGGGAAGGATGGTGAGCGGTTTTGGAAGGAAGCCCCCCTCCGTCTGGAAGGGAGTCCTGGGCCGGGCACTGCCTCCGGGAGCATCTGGGTCCTGGGTGGAGGGCCTGGCAGGGAGGGATGGGGGGCCCGGGGCCTCTGGGAGGGACGGGCCTGGGCGGGGACCACTGTCCTGGGACTCGGGGAGGGGGGAGGTGCAGCCGTTGGTGAGCCTCGCTCACCAGACCCCCAGGGCGGCCAGGCCCAGGAGCCGCACTGTTACCTCCGAGACTGAGGGAGCGGCCGCAGGGCTGGACTGTGACGCCGGGTGGGCAGCTCCTGCACGGAGGGGGAGGGGGAGGGGGAGGGGAGGGGGAGGGGGAGGGGAGGGGGAGGGGGGAGGGAGGGAGGGAGGGGGCGGGGACAGGACTCCCAGCCTCTCAGTCCCCCCATGGTCTGGGCCTTGGAGGGCAGCGCCCCGGCAGGGGCAGGAGCGTGTGGGCACCTGACGCAGCACCACCCTCCTCCCTCCCTCCTCCCTCCCGTCAGCACCAGCCAGTTTATTCCCTCGGCGGCCGGCCGAGCTGGGGACAGAGATCAGGAGGCAGCTGCAGGCCTGTGACTTGGGAGGAGGCCCCTCCATCCCCGTGGAGGGACGGGCAGGGCCGTGAACTTCAATGACGGGAGAGGATAGGAAGTCACTGCTCTGAGGGCTGCCTTCACCGCTAAGCTAAGCGGCTGTTTCACAAACCTCTGCCGCGTTACACACCCGTCCCAGCGCAGGGCGGCCCGGGTGACCCCGGGGGGGGGGGGGGCGCCTCTGGAGGAAGAGGCTGTGGAAGGGGCCTGCACCAGGCTCACCCCGAGGCCAGGCAGCACCCCTCTCCCCCACTGTCTCCCGCCTGGAGGGACCCGCAGCGCTGACAGGGACGGGGGTTCCCCGGGGAGGGATGGGGGCTCTCCGGGAGGAATGGGGGGCTCCCCGGGGAGGAATGGGGGGCTCCCCGGGAGGGATGGGGGGCTCCCGGGGAGGAATGGGGGGGCTCCCCGGGAGGAATGGGGGGGCTCCCCGGGGAGGAATGGGGGGCTCCCCGGGGAGGAATGGGGGGCTCCCCGGGAGGGATGGGGTGCTCCCGGGGAGGAATGGGGGGCTCCCCGGGGAGGAATGGGGGGCTCCCCGGGAGGGATGGGGGGCTCCCCGTGGGAAGGCTGTGGCATTGGGGGCGAGGCCACTGCTCCCATCGGGAGCAGCCGGAGCGCTGGAGGCTGCAGACCCGCCCAGGAGCCCAGGCCGGCCACCGCTCAGCCCGACCCTGCGGCTCCCCCTCCTGGACGAGGTGAGGCCGGCGCTCAGAGGGGGTGAGGGTGACGGCCCAGCTCCCTGTGGGACCCCGTTCCCTCCGTCTCCCACGCCCACCCCGGGCCTGTCAGGGGTCTGGGCGAAGGCGAAGTGCACACGGCGTCTATGCGGGAAACAGGCAGAGTCCGCCGGCGTCCGGGGCCACAGCTTCCTGCACCACCGACGGCGAACAGACCTCACAGTGCAGACCCCACCACACCGTGAGCCGGCGGCCACATGCGACCACAGCGATGTCATGGCAACGGCCTGCCCTGCGCTCACTGCTGGTTCCCCCAAACCCAGGACTGCACCCCATCCTGAGGCACATCCGACGGCCCCCACAGCCGCAGACACCACCGGGCGGTCCCCACAGCCAGCCGGCAGCCGGTTGGGACTGTCCGGTGAGCACTCACAGCCGTCCTGCTTTCCTACCTGGAACACGGCGGGGGGGGGGGGGGGAGTCACCCCGTGTCCAGGGCCAGGCTCAGCTGAGCACTCACAGCTCCTTCGAGGATGCCATTCTCACACCGTCCTCAGATCAGGAAAACCAAGGCCACAGGAACCGGGCAGCCTGAGCTGGCTGTGCGCCCCGAGTGTCCCAAAGCCTGTCCTCACCCAGCCCGGCGCTGTGCTCCCCAGGGGCCATGCCACCCTGCCCCCAGCCCCTCTCACTGCCTCAGGGGTGCCTGCTGCCCACCCAATCTCAAAGTTGGTCTTCAAACCCAGCTGAACAGGAGGCGTCTGTCCGCCTGGCCTGTGGGGGCGCCCCGCGCTGGGAGGGCAGCGTCCTGGCTGCAGACCAGCCTCCCGGCCTCCAGTGCCCCCCCCCCCCCCAGGCCTCCGGCTCCTTTTCTGTCCTGACTCGGGGGACAGTCAGCGCTGGGGAGAGAAGTCGTGGGTCTGTTTTCCTTCTCCAGACGTCACCACCCAGGGCGATCCTCGCTATTCACTGCTCTGTCCTGTGCAGACCCTCTCTCCGCGGAGACCGGGGAGCAGCTGCCGGGGGTCCCCTGATCCAGGTCCCCTGCAGCTCGATGGCCACGGAGCCCGGGGGGGTGGTGGCTGGAGGGTCTGCGCTCAGCGGGTGCCGGGGGCTGTGAGGAGCGAAGCGAGAGGGCGGGAGCTGGCGGGGCTGGAGGCTGTGCATTCAGGGGCAGTGGCCACGGGGCCGGGTCCCTGACGAGGCAGTGCAGTGAGGACAGCCTCTGTGTCCCGCCAGCCTGGCTCTGCCTAACACCCGGGCCCCCTCCCCTCTCGACCCTGGGCCCCGAACCCGGCCACCCCGCTCCCCGCTTGCTGCAGCCTCTCCCCTCAGGGGGCCTCAGCGCCAGCTCCTCTGGACCGTCCACTCTGCCCAGCACACAGGCCTGCCGTCCCTGCTGGGGACCCGCCAACCCAAGCCCTGGGAGAGCAGCAGCCAAATCCTGCCCAGGAGGGCGTCCCGGGCCCGGCAGCTGCCGAGCCCAGAGGGCGCTCAGTGCCATGGCTGCCGGGCGCAGGGAGGACCGAGAGGCGCCTCCCGCTGGCCGCTGGCCGGGCTCTGTCTGCCCCGCCGGGCCCCGCCCAGGCCCCGCCCCCAGGCCCCGCCCCCCAGGCCCCGCACAATGTGCTCCCTGGGCTGCACCCCCTCTGGCCACCCGCAGGCACTGGGTGTGACACGAAGGCGTGGGCTCCCGGAGAAAAAGACCTGGTTCCAGGACAGAATCCCGAGGGTGCTCTGCAGGAGGGACACTGCTCCTGGGGGACAGTCCACAGGCTTCCGGCCGCCGGGGAGCGGCCCTCAGTGCCCTCCTCCCCGTGCTCCCCTGCCCCCCGCGGGACACGCCCCGCACTGGGCTCCCACGGGAGCCGCTGCCCGGCACCCACAGACGAAGGGCGTAAGGGCAAAGGGGACTCGCCCGGGCTATCGTCCTGGGGTGGAGGTCCCGGAGGGCACAGCTGCCACATCGGGGGTGTCCAGGCCCCGGGGGCGACCGCCCAGCAGCTGGATCCAGCGCTGAGCCCAGAGGACCGGGCTGAGCCGCCCGCGGTGGTGCGGGCGGAGCCGGGCGGGTGCCATGGTCCGGCGTTGGGCCGAGCCAGCCTGGCTGGGCCTTCGAGACGCCCCGCCCCTCCTGACCTCAGAGCCCCCGCACCCTGAGCCCGGACACCCCGCCCCCTGACCTCAGAGCCTCCGCCCCCCCACCTCAGAGTCCCCGCCCCCCCCCCCCCCCCCCCGACCTCAGAGCCCCCGCACCCTGAGCCCGGACACCCCGCACCCCCCTGACCTCAGAGCCCCCGCCCCCTGAGCCTGGACACCCCCCCCTGACCTCAGAGCCCCCGCACCCCCCGACCTCAGAGCCCCCGCCACCCTGACCTCAGAGCCCCCGCACCCCCCGACCTCAGAGCCCCGCCCCCTGACCTCAGAGCCCCCGCACCCTGAGCCCGGACACCCCGCACCCCCCGACCTCAGAGCCCCCGCACCCCCCGACCTCAGAGCCCCCACACCCTGAGCCCGGACACCCCGCACCCCCTGACCTCAGAGCCCCCGCACTGAGCCGGGACTGAGCCGAGGACCCGCGGTGCCTTACCCCCTGCTCCTGGCAGATCTGCGTCAGCCGCTCCAGCTGCTCGTCCCGCACCGCCTTGGCCTTCTCGTACTGCTGGACGACCAGCTCCAGCTCCACCCTCACCGGCAGGACGTAGGCTGCGGGCACAGAGCCGTGAGCGCCGGGAGCTGGGCCGGGGGCGGGGAGGAGGGGCTCCCTGAGGCCCAGCAGCCCCCAGGAGAGTGGGGGCGGCCGGGGGTTGAGCTGTCCTCCCAGGGACGCCCCTCCGCTGGGCTGAGGCTCCACAGCCTCCGCCGTGCCCGCCCCTCCTGGGCAGGAGGTGAGCCAACCATGTGCCCAGCCTGCGTGCCCAGCCTGCGTGCCCAGCCTGCGTGCCCAGCCTGTGTGCGGGCCAGGAGCGGGGCTCAGAGACCTCTGACCTCTGACCCCAGAGAACATCGAGAACAAGACAGAGGTGAGCCGCTGCGTGGGATAGCCGTGAACTGACCCTGAGGGACAGCGACAGGCCTGGCTCTCCCCAGTCCCCACCCCCACCCTGAGCTGGCTGGGCGCCCCGCAGAGCCCCCGCACTCACCGTCGATGACCCTCTTCACCCGCCAGATGCGGAGCAGGATGATGAGGCTGATGGCGTCCCAGGGGCTGCGGGGCCCGTTGGCCACGGTGGACGCCACCATCGGGGCCAAGGACAGGACGATCACAGCGCCGTCGAACACCTAGGGGAGCGAGCCCGGGGCTGGGTCCTCAGGCCCCACACCAGGCCAGGCCGCCTGCGCCCGCCCTGCCCCCAGCGACAGCGAAAGGCGGTCTCCCGGGACGGGACTCCCGCCCCGGTGCTCCTGGCACCGCTGTCCAGCTGGTCCTCCCTCCCCTTCTGGGGCCGCTGCCCCGGCCCCTCCTCCCCAGCAGCGGTTCTGGGGAGGCAGGGCCAGGAGAGGGTCCCAGCCTGTGCCGGCCCTGCAGCTCGGCCTCCTGAGATCTGCCCCCTCCACTGCCCGCCCTCTGCTCCGCCAGGGAAGCTAACGCGCTGGGAGGCGACGGAGCCATCGGCTCAGCCCCGCCTCCGGCCTCAGTCAGCACCGGGTTTGACACTTTTCGGAACTCGGGATGCGCAGCCTGTCCAGCCCCCCTTCCTGGGAGCCCCCGTGTTCCCTCCGCCCACCTCGCAGGCCCGGTCCGAGGAGGAGCAGGTGTCTCTGGGCGGTGGCTCACCTCGATCTTGTTCTCGATGTAATCCCACAGCCCGAGCACCACGATGCGGAGGACGGTCTGGAGGAGACGCAGGAGGTGGGGGGCGGCCCTGCCCCCAGAGGGGCGCCGTCCACCAGGGGAAGCGTCTCCCCACCCTCAGGGCCCGTGGGTGCAAGCCCCTCCCACACGCCCTCTTCCCCCCTGCCCGGCGGGGGAGGAGGGAGCCTTCCCATGCGCCCCCCCCCCTTCCCTTTGGGGGTCACCGCCCAGCCGGCTCCCGTCGGCGGGCACGCGCACGCTCTGGGTACAAGTCCGGGTGCGCCCTCCTGTCCCTCCCCCACAGCAGGAGGCTGCGGTGCACAGCGGTGCTGCGGGGCGTCTCCATGGGGCTGGGCAGCGGGGAGTGTGCGGGGTCCCCCAGTCCCAGCTGCTGCGCCCCGGGCCCCCAGCGGTCCTGCCCGGAAAGGCAGAGGCCCCCGGATCGGGCTGCTGGCTTCTGGGGGCAGCAGCTCAGCCTTCACTCCCCTCCACTCCCCCAGGGAAGGGAGAGGCAGAGACTGGGAGAGACCGAAAGAGACAGGGAGAGACAGAGACAGGGAGATGCAGGGAGAGACAGAGACAGTGAGACGGGGAGGGTGAGGAGAGCGAGGCAGAGGTGAGCAGACTGGTGAGAACTGGCCTGCAGGCCGCCTCGCCCCCGCAGAGAGGCCAGTGCCCTCCCTTTCCTGGGGGACCTGCCGCGGCCCCCCCGATGGGCGCGCAGGCAGAGGGAGGCTGGGCCCGCTCCCAGAAGCCCCGGGACGGGAGCCGGGCCCACCTCGGAGAAGAAGCCGGAGAGGATGAGCAGGCTGACCCAGTGGATGACCCCCGCGAACTGGAAGGCGCTGGGAACTGCAGGGCAAGGACAGGGAGGTCAGGAGGAGGCGAGGTCAGGAGCCGCGGCACCGGGGGCAGGAGGTCTGGACGGAGCCAGGCCGGCCGCCCGGGGTGTCTGAGGAGGGGGAGGGGCGGGCCCCCCACCCCCGCCCCGGCTGCCTCTTGGGGTCCAGCCAGCCTGCGGGCTCTGGGGCTCTGCCTCCCGGGGGGCTCGGGGACATGGGCTCCTGGACCCGGGAGCTTGTCAGCCCGGCCGCGCTGTCAGAACACCCCCCACCAGCCTTCCCGGAGCCCCTCTGCCCCGCACCAGCTCGAGGCCCTTTAATACCGGGGCCAGGTCAGCTCCGACCGGCCGGCACTCTACCCGGTGGCGGACCGAAGCAGGTGCTCCCGGAGGATGGCCGGGGGCTCTGACGGAGACTGGTGCTCCCGGAGGACAGAGCCAGGGGGCTCTGACAGACTGGGGTGCAGTGCTCCCGGAGGACAGGGCCAGGGGGCTCTGACGGAGACTGGGGTGCAGGTGCTCCCGGAGGACAGGGCCGGGGGCTCTGACAGACTGGGGTGCAGTGCTCCCGGAGGACAGGGCCAGGGGGTTCCGATGGAGACTGGGGTGCAAGTGCTCCCAGAGGACAGGGCCGGGGGCTCCGATGGAGACTGGGGTGCAAGTGCTCCCAGAGGACAGGGCCGGGGGCTCCGATGGAGATGGGTGCAGGTGCTCCCGGAGGACAGGGCCGGGGGCTCCGATGGAGATGGGTGCAGGTGCTCCCGGAGGACAGGGCCAGGGGCTCCGATGGAGACTGGGGTGCAGGTGCTCCCGGAGGACAGGGCCAGGGGCTCTGATGGAGACTGGGGTGCAGGTGCTCCCGGAGGACAGGGCCGGGGGCTCTGATGGAGACTGGGGTGCAGGTGCTCCCGGAGGATGGCCAGGGGGCTCTGACAGACTGGGGTGCAGTGCTCCTGGAGGACAGGGCCAGGGGGCTCTGATGGAGACTGGGGTGCAGGTGCTCCCGGAGGACAGGGCCAGGGGGCTCTGACAGACTGGGGTGCAGGTGCTCCCGGAGGATGGCCAGGGGGCTCTGACAGACTGGGGTGCAGTGCTCCCGGAGGATGGCCAGGGGGCTCTGACAGACTGGGGTGCAGGTGCTCCCGGAGGATGGCCAGGGGGCTCTGACAGACTGGGGTGCAGTGCTCCCGGAGGATGGCCAGGGGGCTCTGACAGACTGGGGTGCAGTGCTCCCGGAGGACAGGGCCAGGGGGCTCTGACAGACTGGGGTGCAGTGCTCCCGGAGGATGGCCAGGGGGCTCTGACAGACTGGGGTGCAGGTGCTCCCGGAGGATGGCCAGGGGGCTCTGACAGACTGGGGTGCAGTGCTCCCGGAGGATGGCCAGGGGGCTCTGACAGACTGGGGTGCAGTGCTCCCGGAGGACAGGGCCAGGGGGCTCTGACAGACTGGGGTGCAGGTGCTCCCGGAGGACAGGGCCGGGGGGCTCTGATGGAGACTGGGGTGCAGGTGCTCCCGGAGGACAGGGCCGGGGGCTCTGACGGAGACTGGGGTGCAGGTGCTCCCGGAGGATGGCCAGGGGGCTCTGACAGACTGGGGTGCAGTGCTCCCGGAGGATGGCCAGGGGGCTCTGACAGACTGGGGTGCAGTGCTCCGGAGGACAGGGAGGGGGATGCTGGCAGCACGTCCTGGGCAGGGGCCTGGCGGGCACAGGCGCCGCTGGAACACGTGCTGCTCCGTCTGCCTCGCTCAGAGTCCGGGGCAGTGCACCCAGCTTCCCCGGAGCTGAGGCTGGGACCCGGGGGGCAGACACGGGTCTGGAGCGGGGAGGGCGGCGTCCTAGGCTCCAGGTGGGGGATCAGGGTGCCCTGGCGTTGGGCCCACATGACCCTTAAAGTCGAGCCAGGAGGCGGCCCCGGCCCATGAGCAGCAGGGGGCAGGGCAGGGCAAGGCCGCAGGCTCTGATGTTCCCGGAATCATAAACCCTCCTCCCCCACCCTTTCTCCGAGGAATGGGGCCTCCTATGCCGCGGCTGCGTCATTGGAGCGGAGGGCTCTGGCTGTGCTTGTGGGGGGCTGCTTCGGACCCCCACCTCCCTCCTGGAGATTTCTCTCAGCCCCATCCAGCCTCGGCCAGGCCCAGCCGCCTCCATGCCTGGCAGCCCCCCCAGGAGAGAGGCTGGCTGGGGCTGGGGGCGGGGGGCTGGAGCTGGGGGACTGGCGGGCTAGGGGCTGGGGGGCTGGGGGCGGGGGGCAGGGCTGGGGGGCTGGGGGCCGGGGGCTGGAGCTGGGAGGCTGGGGGCGGGGGCTGGAGCTGGGGGGCTGGGGGCGGGGGGCTGGAGCTGGGGGGCTGGGGGCAGGGGGCTGGAGCTGGGGGGCTGGGGGCGGGGGGCTGGAGCTGGGGGGCTGGGGGCGGGGGGCTGGAGCTGGGGGGCTGGGGGCGGGGGGCTGGAGCTGGGGGGCTGGGGGCGGGGGGCTGGAGCTGGGGGGCTGCGGGCAGGGGGCTGGAGCTGGGGGCAGACCTCATAAAACGCAGGCGGGTGGGCGCGGGAGGGAGGGCCCCCCACGTGGTCAGCTGCAGACAGGCCGCGTGCACACCCTGTGGGCCGGCCCCCTTGGGAGCCCAGAGAGCTGACGGACCCCCTCTGGTGGCAGCTGGTGGGGTGGGAAGGGCCTGGAGGCGTCTGAGAAACTGTCCTAGACCCGCCCTGGGGTGGGGTCTGCAGTCCCGTGGCCCAGGCCGGAAAGGAAACCCTGGGGACACAGAGCCACCTCCTCGGCCAGGCTGAGTCCCAGCCCCCCCACCCCCCACCCGCAGCCAGGATGTCACAGACACGCCTGGGCCTCCAGCACCGGGACCGGACCAATAGCCGGAGGATGGTGGGATGGTGGGATGGTTTCCCGCGGGCACATGGAGACCCAGGCCTGCCCGCTCAGGGGCTGCCCGAGGCCGATGACAGCAAAGCACTTACGCGGGCGGCACTGGCGGGGACAGGGAGGCGCCCCCACGTGGAGCCTCTTTAAGCTGCAGACACTGCAGCCAGCCCAGCCCAGTGGAGTGACAGCGCACGCAGGGCCCCATGTCTGACCTCGGTCTCGGGCGTGGGGTGCGGGAGGACACGGGAGCGGCCACACGGGGGCAGGGGGCACCGGTGCGGGGGTGGCAGCTGCCCCGTGTCCGCCCGGCGGTGGGGGGCGCTGCGCGGGGACCCTGGTGGGCGCGCAGGGAATATGGACAAGTATCGGCACAGGCCCCCCGGCTACTCACACTGGAGGAGCTTTATATCTATTAGCAGTTCCAGGGTCAGGAGAATCACCACCAATATTACACAGGCTACCAGGACACTGTTGAGACTGGCACTGAGCAAAAATACCTGCCACACGGCCGCTCTCTTTCCGCAGCACGGCCTCAGCCAGGGGGACCTGCGGGGACAGAGTGGGGAGAGGCGCTGAGAGGGGGCCGAGGCCCTGCTCTCCCCCCCCACGCCCCGCGCCCCGCTCCCCGGAAACCCCATCTTATCAGGAGGCTGCGGAGTCCAGTTACAAAGCCCCACTCCCGGTAGAAACAAGATGCGGGGCCAGGGCGTGCCTGTGGGGAGACTGTGAGGGCCGGAGGGAGAGGGGGAGCCCTGCCTCTGGCTCCCGTTCCTGACGCTCCTGAGCCCCAGGCACGGGCCACTGAGAGGCTGTGGCTGGTCTAGAAGCACCTGGAGCCGACACGAGCTGATGAGGAGGATGCGATGGCCTCACACTGGGCACCCCTTCCTTCCCGTCCAAAGGGGCAGACAGCGCGCCAGCCCGCGAGTCCCAGGGCTTCCCCCTCAGCCGCCCAGCGCAGCCCGGAGCCCGCGGTGGCCCGAGCTCCTGGCCCAGGAACCGGCAGCAAAGGGCTCAGCCACGTCTTCCTGGCATTTTCTAAATCTCTGGGCCTGGAGGCGCGGTCCGGGCCCTGGGGGAACGCCAAGACTGGGGTTCAATCCCCCCTCGGAACACGGGTCCCAGGAAGGCGGCACTAAGCAGGGGACACGGGGAGCGGCCACCAGGGGACGGGCCAGCCGTGTCTGTCCGGGCGGCAGGAAGGACGAGGCATGAAGCCCCACCTCCCGCTCAGAGGGGGGCCCTGCCACCTGGACAGGTGCCCCCCCAGGTGCTGTGAGCCGCGCTGCTTCTGTGCTCGGCAGACCCTTGAACGCTGAGAAGGTGGCTGTCACTCACCCCTCCCCCTCCTTCTCCACAAGGGCCATTCCTGCGCCTTCCCCGGCCCTATTTTCACCCTTCACACCTCTCACCCTGTCCCCAGCTCAGTCCCCAGGTCACACGTCCCTCCCTCAGCTTCCTGTCAGCTCCTCCCGGAAGCCTCAAAGGAGAGAACTCCAACTCCACGCCCCTAACCCCAGGCCCAGGCCCCCGAGTGTGAGCCCAGCGCCCCCTCCGGTCACAGCTGTGAGGGTCACTCGGTGGCATGGCGCTGAGCAGCCAGGCTGAGCCCGATGCCAGGGCTTCCTCAGCTGCAGCCACTTTGGGGGCAGGACGGGGGACGCCGAGGCTCGGCTCAGAGCCGAGCGGAGGGAGCAGACGTCTGGCTGCTCAAACTGCTAATAAAGCGTCCTCTGACACTCAGAAGAGTCTGACATTCCGAGGAGACGGGGTTTTAGCAGAAAAGCAGGATGTGTCTCATTTCAAAACGCCCAAGTGACTAAATAACAACTCAGGGAGCTTCTGGGCGAAAGGGAAATCCTCATGGGGAACCTGTTTCTTATTGGGCTTTTTCCTTTTCAGAGAGAGAGGGAGGGAGAGGGGGAAGCACCAGCGTGAGAGACAAGCGTGCAGGGGTGTGGGGGACGGTGCTCTGCCGAGCCTCGGCCAGGCTGACTGCAGTTCTCTTGTTGCTGATTTCCGAGAGGAAGGGAGAGGAGAGCGGTGGAAGCATCCATGACGGGAGAGAAGGATGGGTCCCGCATGCCCCGCACTGGGGATGGAGCCTGGGCGGACTTCCGCTCCTGAAGATTCTGTCTGTCCTTCCACCTCCTCAGCATCAGCCCAGCCCACCAGCGCCGGTGCTCAGGCGGCGCTGCCCCGGGCGGCCACCAGAGGGCAGGAGCACCTGGTGTCCAGCTCCAGGAGCAGGAGGGCAGCCAGGCGGCCAGCGGGGCTGCCAAGGAGCAGATGGCAGGCCCACAGGGGGCCGTGTTCCCTGTGCGGTCCCACCAGTGGCTCCGGAGCCACAGAGATCCCTGGCTGGCGGGCGCCGGCCGTGCCGCCTCTGCTCTGTGTCCGTAGGAGTCCCGGTAAAAGCTGGAGGGCCGCTCCAGAGCATTACATGAACTTGGCTCCTTCAGGGGAGGCAAGGCCACGGGGTCGCCCTGAAGCGGCGGCTCCAGGTCCCTGCTCCGTCAGGCAGTCCCCATGGGGCACTGAACAGCCCTTTCCGAGGGGGGCAGGCCTGGCACCTGGTCACAGGGCGGCTCCTATGGGGCCTGGGCTCCGCCCCAGAGCTGTGATCAGGCTGCGTGCTGCCAGGCCCGCGAAGGGGAGGGTGCAGCACTAGGGGGCGCTGTGGAGACCCTAAGCCGTCCCAGCCAGTGCTCACAATGGGGGGGGGGGGGGGGCAGAGGGCCACAGCAAAGCCCCTGCCGGGCTGCCAGCCCTGTCAGCCCCGCGCCGAGAGGCTCACCCCTCCAGTCCCCAAAGAAAGGAGCGAGGGAGGTCCAGGAAGTCGGAGCCGCCTGGCGCAGCATGGAATGAGGTCAGGGCACCGGCTGGCCTCCTCCTGGCGCTGGCGGCACGGCTGGGCAGAGGCCAGAACCTTCTGGTTGCAAAGCTCTCCACGGGGATGCCAACTACAGCCCTGCACTGCCCCCCCCCCGCCCGAAGGCACCCCCTCACAGCCCCGTGCGGGCGCTCCAGGAGCGTGTGGTCTGCTGAGACAGCTGGGACGGGAGCCCAAGACCCCACTTCTCCGCTTCTGTGATGCTGACGGGCCTGGACGGCACGGTGGCGTCACCTGTGAGCACAGCACCCGAGGCCCCTCTCCCCCGCCTTTGCTGTTTGTCCACAGGACTGAATGCTCCGGGGAGGCCGAGCGCTGACAGGAACCTCACGTCTGTCTGCGGCGAGACAGACGCCGTCAGCACTTCCGACGGCCCGGAGCTGCGCCCAGCACTTCACACGCCACCTCACCCAGTCTCCGAAGACGGCTCCTCTTCAGCCGCCTCCTCTGCGGACAAGCCCCCGGGGACAGCCTGGCTTCCCGTCTGCTCCCCACCTCCCGTCTGGGGCACCGGTGTCTCCGAGCGCAGCCCGAGCTGCTGCCTGCCCCCCGGGCGCAGCCGCCTGTGCGGGGCTGTGGTTCTGAAACGTTAAAAAGCGTGAACCCGAGCAGCCACCACCTCTGTCCACGCGGGACTGGGTGCAGGGGCGGCGGGAAGGGAGTCACCGTCTCCGTGTGGGGGTGTGGGCCTTCATTCCGCCGCCTGCGGATCAGCTGCTACCACACGCCCCCTGACCCCGCCCCCTGGGTGCTGAGCGCGGAGGGTGGCGGCCTTCCCTCAGGGAGCCTGGGCCTTGCGGGTGGGTTCTGACTGTGCCGTGAGCCCACTCGGGAAATGCCCGGGAATAAAGGAGACGGGCAGGAGCGGGAACGGGCGCCCACGTGCAGACAAGTTCCCCACGGGGCCCGGCTGTGTATCCGCACGGGGCAGCTGCTGCCTCAGCCTCCGGGAGAACGTGACCACAGCCCCATCCTGTGCAGCACCCTCTCCCGTGGCCCCAGGAGGAGGCCAGCAGCACCCTCTCCCGTGCCCCCAGGAGGAGCCCAGCAGCACCCTCTCCTGTGCCCCCAGGAGGAGGCCAGCAGCACCCTCTCCCGTGCCCCCAGGAGGAGCCCAGCAGCACCCTCTCCTGTGCCCCCAGGAGGAGGCCAGCAGCACCCTCTCCCGTGCCCCCAGGAGGAGCCCAGCAGCACCCTCTCCTGTGCCCCCAGGAGGAGGCCAGCAGCACCCTCTCCCGTGGCCCCAGGAGGAGCCCAGCAGCACCCTCTCCCCGGGCCCCGCCAGGAGGGAGGCCAGCAGCACCCTCTCCCCGGGCCCCGCCAGGAGGAGGCCCAGCAGCACACAAGCCCAGGAGTCCAGCACACGTGCCTGCCGGGAACCCACAGGCTGGTGTGGGGCCTCCCAGCCTCGGGGGGGGGGGGGGGGGACTGGGGAAACAAAGTTCCACCCAGTGTCAGCCCTGCATCCGGAAGGATGGAGGGTGAGTCAGGGTCTGAAATTCGCTTGTCCCAGAATCCACATTTCTTGCATCCTCAGGCCAGGAGGTAGGAGCTGTCACCCCACTTGGGGGGTGAGCCCCCAAACCTCTCTGGGGGCACAGTGGCTGACATGCCCCGTGGCGGGGGGGGTCCTGGGCATTGCCCACACATCGCTGAAGAGCGCCCCCCCAGGCTCTCTGTGCCTGCAGGGCTGCCTGGAGGGCTGCCTGGAGGAGGCGGTTTCCTAACAAGGTGGGTGTGGGGGAGGAGCCAGTGGCTAGTTTTCAGGCTTCTCTGTCCAGCTCTCAGCTGCGGTTTGGCAAATCCGGGGTTGGCCACGCTCCCCCTTCCTGTTTAGCCAAAGTCCAGACCCAAGGCGCCTCCAAAGATGCCTGGGGACTCCAGAGCCCCCTAATTCAGCTCACTGTCCCTGGGGGGCCTGACCTCACGTTTTCATTGCTCTCCCTCCCTCCCTCCCAAGGCGGCGCTCAGAGGGGCTCTGCTGCCACCCCGTGGTGGCCGGGGGTACACCCGTCCCTGGGAGGTGAGGATGAGGGGTTCATTATGCTGAAGAACCACGTATCTGGTTGTCTGTGGGGGCAACGGGGGCTGGAGCGGACCTGAAACAGAAGCCCGGGGACCAGGACCGCCGAGGGCTGTCAGTGACACCAAGAAGCGCGAGAGGCTGCACACCGAGCCTGGGAGGCGCGGTTCTGGGCTGAATGCTTGTGCCCCCTCCCCGCACCCCCCCCCGAATATTCACACGCTGACGCCCCAGCACTGAATGGCGGCTTTGGCGGTGGCCCTGGGAGGGACGTAGGGTCAGATGAGCTCAGAGTGTGCTGTTGGCAGAGGGAGACCTGGGGCGGGAGTCTCTGGACCACTTGTGCAGCCACGGCCGGAGCCTCACCACCACTGCGCGCACCTGGCTCTCGCCTCCCAGCCCGAGCTGGCAGGAAACACGTGTCTGTGTTTGAGCCGCGGGGTCTGTGGTCTCTTGTCAGGGCAGCCGGAGCCCGCGGCCTGGCCCCGCACCAGGGCGGCGTGGGAAGGACAGGCACAGCCACGGGGCCTGACCCTGCCGCCCCACCCACCTGCCAGCGCGGCACCGTCACGGGTCCGGGGACGGAGGGGGCACCCCACCCCCAGTGCATGCGAACCCCGGTCCCCACATGTGACAAAGGAAGCCAGGCGTGGCCGCATCAGGAGCGGCGGGCTCTGCGGGGCCTGTCACATGCGGCCTGGGGGCGCTCCTCCCGCACCAACTCTGCGTCCGTCCGCACAGGAGGACCAGACACGCTCTGAGCTGTGCTCCAGCGCCCACGTTCTCAGGTTCTGAAACTCTGAAAGCCCAAAGAGAAGGGAATGGTGGGGCCCCTCGTTTCCTGCAGGAGAGTCGCAGCAGGAAGAGTGTCTGACGAGGCGGGCACTGAAGCTTTTGGAACCGAGCAGACACATGCTCTGTGTTCTGCATCAGGGAGGCAGGTGGAATGTGGGGACACGCCGGGAGGTGCAGCCGGAGCCAAGAGGCCTGGCTCCCGCCCCACAGTGTGCTTCTGCCTCGCTTCCTCCCTGGCTCCGTCCTGCCTGCTCTTCCTGATCCGGGAAGCCCTCTGGCTGCCAAGGAGCCCGCGGAGCCCGCAGGACACAAACCCTTCCCCTCCAACCCCACCTCGGAGGCAGCCGTGAGCCGAGCAGGAGCGACGAGCAGGCTCAGAGTGGCCAGCGAAGGCCCAGGTGCCTCCCACGGACACACAGCTGCAGGGTCTCTGCCTCGGGTGGCTTCCCCCTCACACGGCCCCGGCAGGCGCTGTGCACCCCGGCCTTCCTCCCGAGAGGCACCATCTCCGCCTCACGCCGTAGTCCAGCCCCGGCCCAGACAGCTAAGCACAGGCCGCCACACTCAGATCAGGACCCGCTGCACTGCTACCTGTCACAGTGATCTTTCCCTGGGACCCCACCATCCCCACCGGAGAGCCCTCGATGGGAACCCAGCCTTTCCCCTCCCCCCTCACCATAATCTCCCGGGTGGGAGAACCTCTGCAGAGGCCAGTTCGGAAGCAAATGCAATGACGGTGTCAATTTGCCAAACTACAGCTGGGAACAGAGCGCTGGCTGTCCTGGTTCACGTTCCCTCCTCCCGCCCGCTGGGTGCGCCCCCCGTCTATTCCCCCACCCCCGCCAGATGCCCGCAGGCTGCAGCCGTGCCCCTTGCCCAACCAGCATCCTTCAAGGCCTTTCCAGTTGGAGATGCTTGGACCCTAGAGGCTTGAGGCTGCACTACCGCTCCTGACCACCAGAGAGCAGCACGCCCTCGCTCGCTCCTGCCTGCCGGCCCCCCCCCCCCCCCCCACGCCGCCCAGCTGAACCTGCGCACAGCGCTCAGAGGAACTTGTGTTTCCAGAGAAAGCCACTGGGTGGCGCTTTTAAAAAAGCTGCATGGTTTCCCATCTGTTGGACAATTTCTCTCTGAAAAACATTTTTGTTTGGAAAACAGAGGGGCTCCAAGCTGTAAACATGTTAATTCTAACCAATACTTTTCACTAGCTCCTAAACAGCCAGCAACCTGCATTTCTAGGCCCAAAGCAGAGGCGGCCGGCCAGCGCTGTGCGGTCCAAGCCTCTCCTCAGGGGGTGTGACCTTGGGCGCCCCCGCTCCCTGCGGGCCGATCCCCAGCGCGCAGCAGGGTCGGGGCGTGCGGGAGAACGTCAGCCTTCCACAGACGCTGTGACTCGGGCGCTTTGTCGAGCACTGGCAGGGGTTTCTCCTGGGAAAAGGCCTGTGTGGCCGGCCCCTCCCCTCAGCGCCTCGGCCACGTGCCTCCAGAGAGCGATGCCCCAGCCGGCCCAGCACCTACCCTTCTCTTTGGTAATCCTCGTCCAGGTTTGACAGGAGCTGCGAGCCCGCCGTGGAGAGGTCGCCCGGGGCCAGGGGCAAGTCCCGGTAGGCAAAGCTGGCCAGCGGCCCCGCGGCCGCGCTCCTGGCGTCCTCGTCCCCGGGCTGGGAGATGATCTCCACCTCGGGCGGTGCTCCTCCGGCGGCCGGCCTGCGGGAGGACGACAGAGCCCCTCAGCCAGGCCCCTGCCACCCGGGCCGCGGGAGCTCTGCGCCAGGCCCGGTTCCCACCGCTGAGCCGACCACGGCGCTCAGGGGCCACGGGAGGTCCATCGTCCAGGCCAGTGAGAGGAGGGCGGGTTCCAGGGAGCACCGCAGGGGGCGCTGCCTGAGCGCCCGGTCCACCAGGCAGGTGCCCCACCTGACTCCTGTCTGTGGGTCTGTCCTGTGCTGTGGCTCCGTCAGGCACAGGCACCTGCTCCTCAACGCGAGTGAGGCTTTTAGGAAATGACTCGAGGTCCTCAGACGGCACAGCCCCAGGCGCGAGGCCTCTCGTGTCTCAATAAACAAAACAACGGGGTGGGTGTTTATGGGGGACCCCAGCCCTTCCAGGTGTTTTTTAAAAAGTAGGTTCTGGCCGAAACCGGTTTGGCTCAGTGGATAGAGCGTCGGCTTGCGGACTAAAAGAGCCCGAGTTCGATTCCGGTCAAGGGCATGGACCTTGGCTGCGGGCACATCCCCACGAGGGGGTGTGCAAGAGGCAGCTGATCAATGTTTCTCTAGCATCGATGTTTCTGTCTATCCCTCTCTCTTCCTCTCGGTAAAAAAATCAATAAAATATACATATATTTTTAAAATCACAGCAGTTAAAAATCACTTTTAAAAAAAGTAGATTCTGGGTTGAAGCTGTTCTCTGCTGATCTCAAGGAAACTACGGGTTATGAACCAAACACACAGAGCTTTCTGACCAGTGGGGTATTCCTGGATGACAGGTTCTGAGACTAATAATATTTGGCTCTGCTTGGCTGGTGTGGCTCACGGGTTGAGCGGTGACCTATGAACCAGGAGGTCCAGGTTCGATTCCCGGTCAGGGCACACGCCCAGGTTGGGGGCTCCATCCCTGGTGTGGGATGTGCAGGAGGCAGCCGATCCATGATTCCCTCTCATCATGGATGTCTCTCTCGCTTTCTCTCTGAACGCAATAAGAATAAAAATAAATAATGATGTCGGTAATGCAGCTGGCCCGGGAGCGGCTCCGTGGGACTTACTGTGGGTTGCTCATGTTGAGAGGCGCAGCCAGAGCTTTGGGCTCGCTCCTTGGGGTCTAGCGGGCCTCGGCTGCCTGGAAGCCTGTGGCCAGCATTTCCCGGCGTGCCTTCTCCCAGGCCCACAGCGCGGCACCCTGCAAACAGACCATCGGAGGAGTGTTACACTTGGCCATCTGAAAACGGAAGTTCCTCACCGGAGAGCTGGACAGACTCCTAGGGCTGTCCTCTGGGGACAACACGCAGGAGCTCCCGCTGGCTGCGAGATGAAGCAACAGGTTTGAGTGACAGCAGCTTCCTGTCACACACCGAGGGAGAGGAGCCAGGAGGACGGGCCCAGGCTCTCCCCACCACCCATGATCAGGAAACCTGGGTAATCTTAGGTTTCAGCTGCAAGAGTCGCAATGATAAGGCTTGTCTCAAAAACCTCAAGTGATAGAGAAACCAAGATGGCGGCACAGGTAAGCAACTATACTGCTGCCTCGCACAATTTCAAAACTGCAACTGAAAGACAGAGCAGACATCAGAACCACCGGAAAGCTGGATGAGTGGAAATTCTACAACTAGAAGGAAAGAGAAAAGGACACAGACACAGAGGAGCTGTGAAGGTGTGGAGACCCATGCATGCAGAAAGGGTGGGTGGCTGAATACGCAGCTGGCTTACTCGTGGCGCGGAGAGGGCGGGCAGCAAGTGTGCAGATAGCTTTCTTGTTCGGGAGGAAAACAAAACCTCCCGACTGCGCTGAAATCCAGCCCCGGGAGAGACTTTGGGTACCAGACTCATCGGGGGGAAACTGGACTGTCTGGCAGCGGGAGAAACCCGAGAACAGTCTTCTCTCAGAGGTGTGTGCAGCCATTGCCCGCGGGACATGGAGACACAGGGCCCTCGTAGGGCGGGGCTGACAGGAAGCCAAGGCTGTCTGCTCCACTCTGAGACTCCGCCCCATCCAAGCTGAACACAGAAGCCTTCCCAGCAGAGACACTGCTGATCTCACAGCCAATTGGCCTGGAGGTCAGCTCCTACCAGTGACACCAACAACAATCAAGGCTTAACTACAACAATACTGCACACACAGCCACAAAGGGCTGCGCCAAGAGTGTCCACCTCAGGTAACTGGGGAGGCTGAGCCACTGGGCCCTGCTAGGACACCTAGCACACAAAACCCTCCATCAACTCAGGGAAGCAGCTAAAATGCAGAGACAAAGAGGCAGGCCACAAATGAAGGAAATGGAGGAAAGCAAAACACTGGATTTCAAAACCATGGTTATCAGGTTTTTCAAGAATTTCCTAGAAAAGGCTGATAAATTTAACAAGACCCTCAAGGATATGAAAAAGGATCAACCAGAAATTAAGCATACACTGACTGAAATAAAAAATATTATACAGCCAAGACTGGTTTGGCTCAGTGGATAAAACGTTGGCCTGTGGACTGAAAGGTCCCAGGTTCGATTCCAGTCAAGGGCATGTACGTTGGTTGCGGGCACATCCCCAGTAATGGGTGTGCAAGAGGCAGCTGATGGATGATTCTCTCTCATCGATGTTTCTAACTCTCTATCCTAGGGGTGTCGAACTCAATCAGAGAAGGGGCCAAAATCTAAAATCCAGCCTAAATCGTGGGCCGAATGGTTTACTGAACAGTCATAAACTGTCATTGTGATGGAAACCCAGCGGAGTGCAGTGATGACAGCGCGGGGCGGGCCACATTGCAAGGCCTGGTGGGACGGATTTGGCCCGCGGGCCTTGTGTTTGACACATGTGCTCTATCCCTCTCTCTTCCTCTCTGTAAAATATCAATAAAATATATTTGAAAAAAATCAATAAAATATATTTTTAAAAAATTTTTTTCAGAGACCCAACAGCAGGCTAGAGGATGGCAAGAATCAAGTCAAAGAATTGGAATACAAAGAAGCAAAAAATAATCTTCCAGAAAAACAAAAAGAAAAAGGAATCCAAAAACTTGAAGTTAATGTAAGAAGCCTCTGGGACAACTTCAAGCATACCAACCTCAGAATTATGGGGGTGCCAGAAGAAGAGAGAGAGCAAGATACGGAAAACCTATTTGAAGAAATAATGACCAAAAACTTCCCCCACCTGGTGAAAGAGTTAGACTTATAAGTCCAGGAAGTGCACAGAACCCCAAACAAAAGTAATCCAAAGCAGATCACACCAAGATAAATCATAATTAAAATGCCAAGGTCAAAAGACAAAGAGAGAATATTAAAAGCAGCAAGAGTAAAACAGTTAATTACCTACAAGGGATCACCCATACAACTGTCAGCTGATTTCTCAACAGAAACGATGCAGGCCAGACGGGAGTGGCAAGAAATATTCAAAGTAATGAATAGCCAAGAACCTACAACCAAGATTACTCTACCCAGCAAAGATATTATTTAGAATTGAAGGTGAGACAAAGAGCTTCACAGATAAGAAAAGGCTAAAGGAGTTCAACACCACCAAACTAGAATTTCCTCACATTTCCTTCATTTGTGGCCTGCCTCTTTGTCTCTGCATTTTAGCTGCTGAAAGACATTCTTTAAGAAGAGGAAGAAGATCAACCAAAGGACTTGTATACATGCATATAAGTACAACCAATGGACATAAAACTCTGGGGAGGGAGGGTATGTATGGGAGGGAGGGAGGGGGGCAAAAAAAAATCAATAAAATATATTTTAAAAAAAAGATATTAGTATATTTTCCTTTATAAGAAACTGCCAGTTTCAAATAGGTTGTACCACTTTGTACTCCTAGCAGCAATGTATGAGAATTCTACAATAGTTGGCCTGAAGTTGTGTTGTCAGGTTTTAAATTTAGGGCACTCTAGAAGTATAGTCATACTTCAATATTAATTTGCATTTTCCTGTTGACCAATAATGTGCAACTTTCAAGTGCTTATTGGCCATTTACTAGCATATATATCTTCCTTTGCCAAGTGTGTAATTTGCATATTTGTTATTGAGAAGTTTTCTTATTATTGAATAGAAGGACTTTTTAATACACCCTGAAAAAAAAAAAAAAAAAAAAGAAGAGGAAGAAGAAAAAGATAAAGATAAAAATTATGAACAACAAATACATATCTATCAACAAGTGAACCTAAAAATCAAGTGAATTAAAAATCTGATGAACAGAATAAGCTGGTGAACATAATAGAATCAGGGGCATAGAAAGGGAGTGGAGCGACAATTTTCAGGGGAAAAGGGGTGGCAGTGTCCTCTCTGCCATCTTTTTTCCCTGAACAAAAATCTTACACTTATGGGTGAGGACAGTGGGGGTGGGGGGTAAGGGCAGAGGGTGGGGTAGGAAACTGGTAGAGGGGAGCAATGGGGGGGGAAAAGGAAGAACAATTGTAATAATTTGAACAATAAAGATTTATTAAATTTAAAAAACAAAAAAACCCTCAAGTGTTCCCACAAACGTCTTTCTCCCGTTTCTGTTTCCATCTGGGGCCTCCGTCCCTCTTCCCGGCCTCCCTCTCCTCCTCGGGGTCTCTGTGAGGAAAGGGTCGGAGCCCGGCTCCCGTGCTGGCCTGGCCTCTGTTCCTGGAGGTCAGCGTGATGCTCTCAGACGGCATGTTGGTGGGATCACACGGCGTGGCTCTGTGCGTCTGGATGCGTTAGCTCGACACCCTGTCTCTGAGACCACCTGGGCGTCTGCATGGCCAGGGCACCGATCTCACCGACACCCCACCATTTGTAGGTGCGTGCACCTGGTGATGGACAGCTGACGGCTTCCAGCTGTGGCTCTGGCGGAACGTCTGGGAAAGTCCTTTTACACGCGATGTGTATATGCTCAGTGTACATGCTCAGTAACTGGGAGCAGGACCTCCTAAGAAACTGCCTCAGTGTCTCAGATGTGCTCTGGCTGCTACTGAAGTCTTAAAGAGGCAGCCCATCGCTGGCTCTCCAGACTCGCTCTCTTCCACAGCAAGTGGCAGGCCTCCAGGACCCGTGTCCCAGCTGCCAGCCTGGGCCACACGCTCCCCACCATCACACCACCTCCCTCACTCCCCACCCGTCACACTTGCCTGGCTCTCTGGCAAACACTGGTTCTGTCTCAGCTTCCCAGAAGCCCGTCCCTGGCCACAGCCCCTTTCGCCACCATGTGCCCAGCGAACCTGCTGCCGTTTCTGGAGGTGCTGGCTGGTGACTTCACACTCGCACCTGCCCTGTGACCTAGCTGCTGGGTTCAGTGCCTTTTCGCACACGGTGTGAATCCGTTATCCTCGCCGCCCGCCCCACGCAGGAGACATGCGGTTACTTCTCTCCACCTGACTGTGCCCCCCCCCCCCAGACCTGGTGAGGGGCTGCGCACAGAGCTAGGAGTGAGAGCTCAGTCCCTGTGCCAGAGAGCGCAGGCAGAGCCGAAAGACGGTCAAGTCGTTACCCCCCTACGTGGGATTAGAGACCCAAACAGGCTAATGCATCAGCAGGATGGGAGAGGAGCTGCTCTGAGGACACTGCCAGAGGCGGCCACTAGGGGAGCTGTGCTCCCTCTGTGAGGGGAGGACCTGGACTAGACAGTGAGAGGAGGCTGGTGGGCTGGGGCCAGAGGCGAGGGCCCCAGTGAGGGCCTGCTGGACCCCGGCCAGACCAGCTCCTGCGAAGGGTTATCACTATCTTGCTTGAGAGGAGGAGCAGAGCTGGCAGTGTCCTCTCTGCCATCCTGTCACGGTACCCAACGCACGAACGTGCACAGAAGCCCTCTGCTGGCCTGATGGGTCTCAGACGTGTCTGCAAAGTATGCGGCTGAGGGAGGGCTGAGGGGCTGAGGGAGGGCTGCGGGGCTGAGGGAGGGCTGCGGGGCTGAGGGAGGGCTAAGGGGCTGAGGGAGGGCTGCGGGGCTGAGGGAGGGCTGCGGGGCTGAGGGAGGGCTGCGGGGTTGAGGGAGGGCTGAGGGGCTGAGGGAGGGCTGAGGGGCTGAGGGAGAAGCTGCAGGGCTGAGGGAGGGCTGAGGGAGAAGTTGCAGGGCTGAGGGAGGGCTGCAGGGCTGAGGGAGTGCTGAGGGACTGAGGGAGGGCTGCAGGGCTGAGGGAGGGCTGCAGGGCTGAGGGAGGACTGCAGGGTTGAGGGAGGGCTGAGGGAGGGCTGCAGGGCTGAGGGAGTGCTGAGGGACTGAGGGAGGGCTGTAGGGCTGAGGGAG